GTCCATTTGATTGTACCTGAAAGAAAAACACACAAACACCTTTCATTGAAGCGCAATATCTCAAAAATGGGCATAAAAATGTGTTTAAAATCACTATATATTTTAGGTGTATCAATAACGCCTGGGGTCGGCGCTATGGTGCCATATAAAGAACACCTTTTTTGCTCATTTTTCCCTCATTTTCTCTAATTGTCCATTCAATGTACCTGAAACCAAAAAGATACAAAATATCTTAATTTAAAGTGCAATATCAATAAAAACAAGCATAACATGATCATAAAAATAAGCACTAAAAATATGTACTTTTAAGGTGGATCATCTATCATGAAAACTAAACTTTTAATTCTTGAAGATGAATTAGTTTTCTTAAGTGATTTCAGTCGCTTAAGATGTAACTAACTATAGAGGCTTGCACCTATAGGAGAATTAATAACTTATATAATCTAAAACCCATCTAATCTTCATATTATGTAGGGGAATGATATGTTTAAAATTTTACATATCAAATAAATATCATAAATTTATTGGTTTGAGAAATTGAGACTATTATTGAGTAATATCATCATTATTTGAGATGAAGTATTATTTGTAATATTATGCTCGGTTGTTTAACCCATTAAATATATGAGATCCATTTAGTCTCATTTTTCAAAATTAAAATTTCTTTTTTTTAAAATTTAAATTATATATATATATACATTAAACTAAACTATTTTTAATTAAAAAAACCAGCAAATTACGGTCGGATAAGCCTCTAACACCCTAAGAGTGTTATATGACCACTTAGGTAGAAATCTATGCTGGGTTAGTCGGGTTAAAGAAGCACGGGAACTTCTCCTCAGGATGTGCAATGTGATACAGTTATCTAGTCCTAATCATGGATGCCCTATTAGTATGATTGATGATATGTTCATGCTTTGCAACCCATTTTAAATCTGACTCGAAGGCATGCAGAAAATAAAGACAACTTCTGAAAAATCTTGAAATGTTTTAATCGTAAATTTAATTAGTCTTAATTTTCTTAATTGGATTTAAAAAAAAATTATAATTTGAGGTCCCTAGAGAGCCTAGGTTATAAAGCACGATTCTTAGACAAACCATAAGCCAAATAATGAGTAGCAATAATGCACAGTGCATAATATAAAGAAAAGCAAGTCAAACATAAAGAATGGAGAGGTTGGGCACCACTAGATTGACAACATATCTCATAAAAGAAAAAGGCAGCTAGGCACCACATATACAAGTATGGTCCTAATTCTATAGATAAATGAGATTTAAAACGAAGGTACGAGACTTGAACCTATAACTCCTGGTCCTTGTCATGTGGTCCCGCCCATAGACGTCTCAGAACCCGTGACCATATCTTACTTCTAATGCAAAATCTCTTCTTAGGGACTATAACAGTACATATAGAAAGTCAAAAAAAGACTTGACCAATAAAAGATAGGGGTTAGTACAGGTTAAAGTCATGCAATGTGATGAGCCGTGCTCGACAAGAAGAGAGCTTAACTACACCTGCAAGCAAAATGCTAGCTTTAGATCATTATAACTCCTCCGTGCTGGACATGGCTTCTTGCAAAAAAAACACCACCAACATACTAGTGTGCAAGTCTCACACCCTATAAAACATGCAAAAAGCACAAAAAACTAAAGTTTGACTAGGGCAACCAAAGTAGCAAAGAACAATAGTCAAGACATATAAAGACTACCTAATGTCGCAGTTTTAGCCTCGTACACCATCTAGCGTATAATGTCCTAGTCACAACATACAAGTTTGTGCAATGTAGGCAAGAGGATAGTGTATGTTTTGATGGGGTCGTTGTCCCCAAACCTATCCTATGGATCCAAGGATTATAAGAGGCGGCGATTACTTAGATGAATGATGACTATGGATGTTTAATGGCTGGCCTCCTCCTTTGATGATCCAATTTATCTTTAATAAAAATCTAAAAGGTGTCTTGATGTCCCTTTAAAATGCATCTCCATTCAATGAATCTTCTAGAAGTTCCTTCTTTCAAAAACCAATTCAATGAATTTTTGTGTCCATAGATTATTTCTCACGTTTTTATCAAGGGTTGCTTCAAACATCTCTTCAAAAATTTGTGTAAATTCAATGAATCATCAAATAACTACTTATGCCGCTTAAGTGTGGGATACCTGGAGCGTAGGCGCGATTCTCTCGTGCATATGCACCAGTGTTTGGCGCTTAGGCGCCCTAGTTCATTCTTGCACCTTCATCATTTTTGCTCAAAATTTGACTCTTTTTCACTCATTTTAGCATTTTTCATCCATTTGATTGTACCTGAAAGAAAAACACATAAATAATTTTCATTAAAGCGCAATATCTCAAAAATAGACATAAAAATGTGTATAAAATCACTATATCTTTAGGTGTATCAATAATGCCTGGGGTCGGTGTTATGGCGCCATATAAAGTGCACATTTTTTGTTCATTTTTCCCTCATTTTCTCTAATTGTCCATTCAATATACCTGAAACCAAAAAAACACAAAATACATTCCTTTAAAGTACAATATCAATAAAAACATGCATAAAATGATCATAAAATAAGCACTAAAAATAGGTAATTTTAAGGTGGATCACCTATCGTGAAAACTAAACTTTTAATTCTTGAAAATGAATTAATTTTCTTAAGTGATTTCAGTCGCTTAAGATGTAACTAACTATAGAGGCTTGCACCTATATGAGAATTAGTAACTTATATAATCTAAAACCCATCTAATCTTCATATTATGTAGGGGAATGATATGTTTAAAATTTTACATATCAAATAAATATCATAAATTTATTGATTTGAGTAATTGAGGCTATTATCGAGTATATCATCATTTTTTGAGATGAAGTATTATTTGTAATATTATGCTCGGTTGTTTAACCCATTAAATATATGAGATCCGTTTAGTCTCATTTTTCAAAATTAAAATTTCTTTTTTTCAAAATTTAAATTATATATATATATACATTAAACTAAACTATTTTTAATTAAAAAAACCAGCAAATTAGCGACGAGGAAGCCACTAGAGTGGAAAAGAAAAGAGAGTTTTAGCTACAAAGCTAAAAACACTCTCACAAAGGACTTATTCCCCATCTGGGTCTGGTAAGCCTCTAACACCCTAAGAGTGCTATATGACCAACTAGGTATAAATCTATGCTGGGTTAGTCGAGTTGGAAAAACACGAGAACTTCTCCTCAGGATGTGCAATACGATGCAGTTATCTAGTCCTCGTTGGAAAAACACGAGAACTTCTCAGGATGTGCAATACGATGCAGTTATCTAGTCCTAATCATGGAGGCCCTATTAGTATGAATGATGATATGTTCATGCTATGCAACCCATTTTAAATCCTGCTCGAAGGCGTGCAGAAAAAAGACAACTTCTGAAAAATCTTGAAATGTTTTAATCGTAAATTTAATTAGTCTTAATTTTCTTATTTGGAATTTTTAAAAAATTATAATTTGAGATCCTTAGAGAGTCTAAGTTATAAAGCATGACTCCTGGACAAACCATAAGCTAAATAATGAGTAACAATAATGCACACTGCACAACATAAAGAAAAGCAAGCCGAACATAAAGAATGGAGAGGCTGGACGCCACTAGATTGATAACATATCTCAGAAAAGAAAAAAATAGCTAGGCACCACATATACAAGTATGGTCATAATTCTATAGATAAATGAGATTTAGAACAAAGGTAAGATACATGAACCTATAGCTCCTGGTCCTTGTCACGTGGTCTCGCCCGTAAGGCATCTCAGAACCCACGACCATACTCAGAACCCATGACCATATCTTACTTCTAATACAAAATCTCTTCTTGGGGACTATAACAATACATATAAAAAGTTAAAAAAAGACTCGAATGGTAAAAGAGAGGGGTTAGTATAAGTTAAAGGCATGCAATGTGATGAGCTGTGCTCGACAAGAAGAGAGCTTAACAACACCTGCAGCTTTAGATCATTATAACTCCTCCTTGTTGGGCATGAATTCCTGAAAAAAAAGCGTCACTAACATACTAGTGCGCATATCTCACACCCCAAAAAACATGCAAAAAACTCAAAAAAGTGAAGTCTGGCTAGGGCAACCAAACTAGCAGAGAGCAATAGTCAAGACATTTAAAGACTACTAACGTCGCGATCCTAGCCTAGTACACTATCTAGCGTATACTGTCCTAGTCACAACATATAATTGTGTGCAGTGTAGGCAAGAGGCTAGTGTATGTTTTGATGGGGTCGTCATCCCTGAACTCATCCTATGGATCCAAGAATTATAAGAGGTGTAACTAGATGCAAATTTTGTATGAACAAAAGCTTTTAAATGATTGACCTCTAAGCTAAGAATGCAAATAATTTTAAAATAGTTTTTGAAAATATAATGCATATAAGTAATAAAAATTAAAATTTTTATATTTATTCTTTTAAAATAGATCTCAAGGAATGAAAAGCCTAAGTGACACCTAATAACTTATTAATTGAATATTAATTGTGATATTGTGCATATTGTGCAGGCTACATATGATTTGTGTTAATTTATCACACTTAATAGGTTAACAAAACTAGATCATTTACAAAGTAAATATTAATTGAAATGTTATTCCATCAAATATGAATTAATTGGTTTACTTTAGATTGAAATATGCTAAATAAACGCCATAAAAATGAAGAAAATTTACATACATAACACACAATTCTTATGTATTAACATATTTTGTGCCTAAACCTTTTTATATCTCACTAATAAAAATTTGTAATATTCTATTTTTGACATTATATTATTGATTTAAGTGCTAATGTTTGCGTAAGATGTTGGTGTCGGACACTTCCGAGTGATCATCTTCCTCGTCATCTCTATTTTCTCTTTCGCGATCAACTCTCCGCCGTCCCGCACCACATCCTAGGGTTTTCCTATGTTTTAACAGAACCCTATGTATTTCCACTTCAGCTATCGCTCCGGTAACAGAAGAAACCGTCCACAGTCTCCGCCACTCGCTGCTTCTCGAGCGCCTTCGTATCCGACACCTCAAGGAAAGTTCGAAAAGTAGTTTGCCCATTCAGGCGAAACAGGTGGTTGCTTCTGTTACGCCTGTGAATAAGGAGACGAAGAATAAGAAGGAGAAGGGAAGCGTTATGGCTTTGAGTTTTGAGGAGCTTGGTTTGAAGGAAGAGCTGTTAGGCGCTATTAGGGAGATTGGCATTTCTTTGCCAACCGAGATACAAGCTATTGGAGTGCCGGCTGTGCTCCAGGGGAAGAATGTGGTTTTGGGATCACATACCGGGTCGGGGAAGACGCTGGCTTATATGCTGCCTTTGGTTCAGGTCCTTCACCCCCTCCTTTTTTCTTAATTAGGGGGATGTTTTGTGGCAAGTAGGATTTAGTAAATTTTGTGCAATTAAAATTTTTAAATCTCTGGAGTGCCACGTCCTGTTCATTTTTCAAAGTATCTTCAATGAAAGTTGATTTCTTAAAAAATTTGTGGATGCAAATAAGGGCTTATTTGGTTTCATGAAGTATAAAATATGTTTGAAAAAATGGTGAATTTATTAGATTCCGCTGTTCAGTTAATTGTTGTTAGAAATCAATATGAGATTTAAATTATAAAAACACTTCCAAAGTGATAGTTTAATCACATACGAACTAGGACAAAATGAAATCGTTTTCTTATAGCATTTTTATCTTTGTATTCTTGTTCAGTTGTTTGGATTATTGCAATAAGATCTACTAAATTCTTAAATCCGTCAAGTTCCCAGATGAGCCATATGATCTACTAAATCCTTAAATTCGAGAAGTTTAAATCCCTTAAATATTATTAAATTCTGGGTTTGGTAAATCATACTTACATGGATTTATGAAGTCTATTATGTAAGGAAAGCTTCAAAAAATCATTTTTTCTAGATTTACGGTAAAATAGCATTAGCCCATCTTAAATCCTGTAATGAAACTTCCTCTGAAACTTTCTTTATTTTCTGCAAGATTTTTTACAAGTAAATTTTCAGTCTTCTTTTTCAATTCTTATAGAACTCCTTATTGTTTCATGGATTTTCATTTGATTTATCGCTGTGGTTTAGTATAAAATTTTTGACTGAATTTTTGTAACCGGGTGCCTGTTGCTTTTGGAGTTAGGATTTTGATATTTTGCTACGAGACATAAGGTGTGATTATAATGTGGTCCTTGTGGGAACAAGTGTTGGAGATTTGATACCACAGTTATATATCTATGGCTGCAATGGACACGCTTGTTCACGTTTTGATTTGAATTAGTATGAAAAGTGAAGTTTTCCTGCTCTTTCTGTCTGCTAATTTTCTGATAAGATGATTGAATAAGTAAGCTTCATATTCAGTTTTTTAACCTTATGGAAGAAACAATAGGATGTGTAATTTGACAAGTAGTTCCCACAACATGCCATATAAACTATTTGACTAATTATATGATTTTTTTCATAAAGCATTTACGGTGTTCTTTGTCAGCTGTTAAGACAAGATGAACATTTGTATGGTATGCTAATGAAACCGAGGCGTCCTAGAGCTGTTGTACTCTGTCCGACAAGGGAGTTAACTGAACAGGTGATTGGTTTACACTACCTTAATGTTTAAAATGGGCAACAATTTCTGATTACCTTCAAGGGATATATTATCTTTAATGTGTGGTAAATGTCTAGGTTTTTCGTGTTGCAAAGTCTATAAGTCATCATGCAAGGTTCAGGTCAACCATTATAAGTGGAGGTGGACATTTCAAGCCTCAGGAAGATTCATTAAACGTACCAGTTGACATGGTTGTTGGGACACCTGGAAGGGTCCTTCAACATATTGAGGATGGTAACATAGTTTTTGGAGACATTAAGTACTTAGTAAGTCCTATTGATATGTTTTCAAATATTTATTTGGTAAAACTAATTCAAATATTTTCAATTGTTACTGAAGTAAAATTTAAGACTTATAACTAATTTGAAACCTTTTAGGTTTTAGATGAAGCAGATACTATGTTTGATAAAGGCTTTGGTCCTGACATTCGGAAGTTCCTTGGTCCACTAAAAAAACGTGCTGGGAAACCTGGTGATCAAGGATTTCAAACTGTATTGGTCACTGCAACAATGACAAAGGTCTGGTCTCTAGCAATATCAACCTTGATATGGTCGCCTTTTTACTTCACAAAAATTGCTGTTACTCTGTTTTGTCAGATGTTCTTATCAATGAGTTATGATAATCTTTGTTAAATGCTAATTTTCCACATTTTATGTTGGTATGATGACGTTTTAGATGGTGTGGCTCATGGAAAAATCTATATAATCTTTCTTGAAAGTCAAACATTAGAACGGAGATGTTAGATTTTAGACTAAAACCGATTGATTTATTGATTTTGACTTCATCTGGATTCAAGGTGGAATTGGTTTCACTCATGTAATATTAATAATTTTGTTTAATGCATATCGTTCTCCATGATCTAGTTGAGAATAAAATTTATGGTGGACATCTTTTATACTATGAAATCCATGACATTGGCTTTGTAGGCAGTGCAAAAATTGATTGATGAAGAATTTCAAGGAATACTCCATTTACGAACATCCACCTTGCACAAGAAGGTTGCGTCCGCTCGACATGACTTCATCAAAATTTCTGGTGCTGAGAACAAGTTGGAGTCTCTTCTACAGGTTGATTTTTGCAGACCTAGTATCTTGTTGAAGCTTAGAAGTTGCTCCTTTCATGTATTTTTTTCCTCTCAAAGTAGTCCAACAAACTTTGTAAATAAGAATGGACTGAATTGAAGAATGACTCCCAACTGATAATCAATTATAAGCTAATAATTGATGCTTAAATATGTCATCTGTTTCATATATATGTCTTACCTGTTGAAGAGATCAAATGAAAGTTTGTGTAGGCATGAGGAATTGATTATCAGAATGATCTGACCACAGTGTAATTTATAATTTGATGTGATAGGCTATATCATAACCTACTTCAATAATTTAATTAAACAATAATATTTCTCGTTGGAATGTTTTGTCAGTTTTTAATCTCAAGGAAATTTATTTCAAATGCCAGGATTGCTGTGAGCATGTTGCATGTTTTTCCTTCTTCAGGAGCTAATTAATTAGCACTGGTTAAAGGATTTTTTTTTTAGCCTGTATTATACTTATTAAAGCTACATGGTTGACCATTTTATATATTACTTAAAACCTAATTCTTCTGTTTAATTGGCAGAATAGTCTCCACAAATCTAATTTAAAATTAATTATCTAGCATAGATAAATTTTATATAGCTACTAGGAACCCAAAAATATCTGATGTTTCTATGGATAGAATATTTGTTTGACATTTTCTTTAGAATGGGATCTCCATGCTTGTTCCATGGCTTGTACCTTTTTTCTCTGTAAAGGTTCAATAATTGGGCCATGATATCACCTGATGTGAATATCCTGAGCTTAAGTCGACATATAATTGCAGGTTCTTAAACCGAGTTTGGCTAGGGGAAACCGGGTGATGGTATTCTGCAATACACTAAATTCAAGCCGTGCTGTGGATCATTTCCTGACTGAAAATCAGATATATACAGTAAATTACCATGGAGAAGTACCTGCAGAGGAAAGGTATATTATTTGATTTATTTGTTTGGCATTTGAATATATGTGTAATAGGTGTTGCATTTTCTAGAGTTTTGCTGTTATTCCAGTTTCTCATATGGCTATAAATAGCCATTAATTCTTTTTTCATTTAAAAATTTAGCTTAAGGGAAATTTTACACTACATCAAGGTACAAGTATTGCACATGAATTGACTTATCTAGCTTATTGTTGTTCATGGTCATGCACTTTTTTTTGCATGTATTAATTTGCGGTTAAACCTAACTTATGCCAATACACTTGATATTCGAGCTTCTCAATTGTACCTTATACAGTAATTAAATCTATTATGCAGAAATAATACATTTTATCTAACGCTCCATGACATTTCTATCTGTTCTACTCCCTGTTGTTGCTGGCATGTTACAGTTTCTTGATTCTTTGATTTGGTTCAATGTTTCAATATACAATGCCACTTATTTGGATCCCTAAAAGGCTGAAATTTTACTGTATAACTTCTTGTGAATCAGATAATTTTGGGTATGATGATGAAATCAAGATGATATATATGAGTTCAACTATTAATGTCCTCAATAGTTTCACAGAAATCCACTGCAAAACAAATGCTTGGGGCAAATCTGGGCAAATACAACCACCTTTAGAAATCATCTATTTTTGAAAAAAGGCTAAGTTCTCATTACAAATCTTTTCAGTCAATTTGAACCACCGCACAATTAATGCAACGAGATCATTCAACATCAATAGGTATTCATTTCACACAACCATTCCCAAAATGAAATGCCCAATCACTAAAAATGTCGGATCCCGAATTTTCTTAGGGGAAGAGTTCGTAAGGGGAGTGAGAGAGTAGGAAGAGAGAGGGAAGATGTTGTTTCTCTTAGGAGAGGAAGATTCTTTATTGTCTGATATTTTGGGATTGATCCCTTGTTATATGAGTTTCCCTCTATTTATAGAAGGTTCTTAATTGTAATATAAAAAAAATACTCATTGCACTTCGATCTCGAAGGATCTCAGATTGATCCTTTTTTTTGTTTTCTTTTGATTGTGACATCATATATAATATTATTTTTAATAGTGTTGTATCATTACTTTTGTTCCATATGCGCCCGCCTGTTGGGTTACATCGTTGTCAATCTGCTCAGCTTTCATGGTAATTCAACACTAAACAATTCACTTGACTAAGTCAATTTCTTAATCAATGAGATAGATTTAGCCCCTCTTTGGTAAATGGGGTAGCTGATGGCAATAGCCAGATAGGTGACCTATGCTTGGTGGCTCGTATTAGCTACTTGTACTCGATAGTTTGTACTCGATTACTGGTATTTGACGGCTCGTCAGCTTGGCAATATGGTTGAACTGAGGAGTTTGATAGTTTGTCTTAGCAAGCCATCTGATTCTTGAGCATGAATTTGGTTAGTAAGTATTCGGTTATATATATTTAATTCCCAATTTATCTTATTTTTTTGAAAGACTAAACTATGAAAAGAATAAAAGAATAGAAATAATAACCAGCATAAAGAAAATTTCTATTTTGCGCCAAGAATATTGTTTAATTATATTAATGACGTGTAAACAACTCTCTTTAAGTTTGGGTCTTTCATCTTCTATAAATAGAGTAACATGATGCTAGTTAATTCATTCTTCCGTTTGCAAACGTTCATTTTTTCTACATCTTTTTTTCCACATCCTCTCAACTAGTTTGAATGGATAATGCCCCGGAGGAGTACATGCATATTATCATGTTTAAGTTTATTGAAGGCTTGTTCGTCATGCGAAAGAGAGAAGGTAATTCTAAGAGCTTGGTGAAACTATCAAGGGAAACATCGATCCTTATATGCAAATAGGTTCCTCTCATATCTGACTACTGGCATGAACATTCTAGAGGGGGTCTGCCTAATGGTCCGACTTTTATTAACCTAGGACCCGCTTGGAAACCATTGACTCTTGTATTTGTTTTGACTAATGTCAGAGGATCGAACAACTACATTTGGTCTCACAGCTTGAGCTTGGATGCAGATCAATCAATATATAAAATATTCATTAATATTATGCAAAATAAAGATATTTAAAAAGAAGTATATTTTTTACAGTCATTTTCACATATTATAAATTTATGGGCCACCACCCTGCGGCGGAGAGTCATCCTTGCCTTGACAATGTTATGATCTAAAATTGAATGTAGCACCGAATCCCTTTGGGGGAAAAAATAACTCCACTGAAGAGGATGTTGATAAAAAAGCTCCTTCCGGAATTTCTCCGTCGACAACTTAGTAGTATGTTGAAGTGTTGACCTCAATTTTGGCCTCTTAGTGCTTTCTAACCATAAGACTTTTCTTTTGACTATCCTAGAAGACTAGAGATGAAACCCACCTACATAGAAAATTAAACCACTTCCTTACTCTCCTTGAAACCCACATGGATGGTCATGAATCTCCAACACTTAGAAGGGTGAGGATTCAAGGATGAGTCCCCATAGGACTGTTGAACTTAAGCCAACTCTGGGTGGCTAGAGTTTGGTCTCTCATATATTCAAGCACATCACATTTCTCTACTTGTCCTAAAACAATGAAACTACACCCATTGAACCTATTTCCCCTTTGTTCTTTTGGAAACTCATGTGGTTGGTCCCCAAGCTCTTAACCCTTTGGCTAGGGTGGCTAGGACCCACACATGAAGGGTCCAAAAAATGAGCTTTCCCTTGGCCTCATTGCTCAAATAAGGTCACCTTCGTGATTGGCATCTTCAATGGATTTCAATCCCACCCAAACACCCAATTTTGGTTTTTTAGCCCCAAACTTCTCCAAAATTACCAAATTGCCCCTGGAACCCTAAAATTTAAAAAATGACCCAAATCTTTAAATTTTCTCCAAAAACATATGAAACCATTTCAAACCACCCAAATTGATCAAAATACCCCAATTTTTCCAATATTTCCAAAATATCCTTAAATTTTCCAAAATTACCAAAATACCCTTCATGTTCAAAAAATTCCCAAAACCTCCCAAATCATTCCAAACCTCATCTAAACCAATTCCAACCACCCAATGAGCTCAATTTGACCAAAATCTTAATTTTGCCCCTAATGGCTCAAATTTCCCAAATTCATCCCAATTTTCATCAAATTCATTTCAATTTCACCTAATTTCAAAACCAAATCATTTATCAACTTGTCCAATCCCAAGTTACACCAATTTGGAGCCTAATTGGACAAACCTCCAAACCCTAATTTTAATTTTGAGCCAAATTGGTGTAAAATTCAAAAGAAAATAGTAGTAACAGAATGAAGGAATCATGAGATTTTAACTGATGTCGCTCTAATCAACTTTAAACCCCCCATAACACTTGAACAACAACAAAACTTTTCACTCGAACTGTAAAACTTTAAACCTTGAATCTGGAGCTGTCACTTCGACGATGAGCTCTGAGCTAACACCGGGGCAACATGACAAGGATGTACAGAAGAACAACTTGGAGAGAACAAACCGGATCTACAACAACACTTTTTTTTTGGAATTAAATAACAAACCATAGGATTCCGAGGTAGCTCGTCTAGTACGACATAAGTCTTCAACTTATATTTAGACCTTCGCACAATCATGTTGTGCAATTTAAGCCATAACTAGCTTTAGGCTCCGATGTTGTGGTTCGTTACGACATAAACCCTTCTATCTTCCAGACTATTTGTATGATCGTGTCATATAAATGTAAATCATAAATAATAATAATTGATAGGATGAACCATCAAGTAACTTTTTCTCAAAAGTAAAGCCAAACAATAGGATAGTTTGAGAGGTCACTGAGGTTCCCCTCGGATCAACGACATCTTCTACCTTTCATTCATTTGGATTTCTGGAGATAATTGTTCCTACTTGATTCATTTCCTTTTAAACTTCTAATTTCTTATCTTGAAAATCTTAAACTTTGGAATTCTTGAAGGGAAAATCTCTAATCTGAATCGAGAGTATTCTTAAGCGATTTCGGTCATTTAAGATTTAATTAACTATATCAGCTTGCCTCTATAGGAAACATTGAAACCCAGTATAATATAAACCCTATTTAATTTTTTTTATTAAATAAGAGAACTTGTCGATCAATATAAAGGGTTTCGTAGCTAAAATGAATGTTATAAATTCTATAATTTATTTAATCGAGTCTCACTATCAAGCAATGTGTCTATTCCCCGGGATATGTACATTACTTGCGGTGTTGCGCTTGTTTATTTAAACTATCGCATATATGAGATCGGTTCAGTCTCGTATTTCTAAAAATTAAAACATTATTTCTTTTCAAAATTAAAATACTACTTTTTAAAAATCAAACCTATATATTAAATTAAATTTAAATTATTTCCAACTAAATTTGATGTCCGACATGATGTTACTGTAGATGGGAGTTTGCCAAATAGAGCTATGCTAGCCATCTAAATTTTCTTTGTAACATGTGCCCCCATAGAGCTTGGAAGGTCCTTATATGGAGATGGGCACTCCCAATCTGCCTGTTATGGCTGATACAATTGAACTTGAACAACAGTTGTCGGAATTAAGGCGTGCAGTGGCCAACCTAAAATTTCCGGGCTAACTGAAATATAAGTTTGTCAAATTGAGTGATAAGAACCACATTAAATCCACTCACTTAGCTCATTTCAAATCCGGTGGAGAATTGTACTAAAGAGGCTTATTTAGATGGGTTGAATTTCCATAGAAGTTTTGTCGGATTTGTGCTTATAATTTTTATTTTCATCTTTGTGATGTGCTGTTGTGTGCGTGTGTTATAATATTTTCCTCTAATCAATTGGGCAGTTTATTTATGTCGAAGAGTTGTAATGATGAGTGGTTCGTTTGAATAAAGAAAAAAATATTTTGAGCCATTAATATGAATGATGATTTGATGACTTGGGCCTCATTTGAGGCAGCTTATTTGGTGCATTTGCGTTTTGAAAATGCATCTAAGACGTTTGTTTAGTGCGTTTTTCCTATTTATCCGAAAATGACATTTCGTTTTTTTAA